ATGGAAAAGTAAAAGAAAAGATTCTTTCATTGTTTTACAAACCCTCCCCCAGGTCCCCTCCACCATGCAGCCCTCGCTCTAGTCTCCTGTGATGACAGAGATACCCAGTTACATCTCTCTTTTAGACGGTTCTCTCCCTGGAGGCAAGGATTCTAAGGCTCCGTCTGACATACTTTGGACATGTTGCAAGGAGGGACAGGTCCTTGGAGAGGGGCATCATGCTTGTTAGGGTAGAGGAACAGCGCAGAAGGGGAAGGCCTCCTATGAGGTGGATTGATTCAGTGACTGGGATAATCGGGATGGGTGTTTCGGAGACGGTGCAATTGGCACAGGATAGAGCAGCGTTTAGGGCTGTTGTACATAGGGTCGTTATGAGTTGCAAGCTACTCAACGGCACATAACAACAACAGCAACAACATAAAGATAACAGCTTGAAAAATTCCGTTAGGCAATTCTTTTGCCACCTGGGATCTCTTTGAATTGAAAATAGAATAATAAATAAATATGGTTGTTTGTTGTTTTTTTTTTGGACTCTGGTGGCCAATCCATAGCGAGTTGTGCTGCTAACCCAAAAGCACATCACCCCTCTATAGTGATTCTAACCCATCAGGAAGGAAGATGGAAACTCTTCCTGTATGATTTATAGCCTCAGAAACCCACTGAACGGTCAATAATGAAAAGATTCTTACTTGACAGCAATGAGTTAGTTAAGTTGTATTACAGTATAGTGACATAGTGGCATAGTGGGTAATATTTTGGGCTGCTGTCTCAAAGGCTGGCAGTTTAACCCATCTACCAGCTCCTCCCAGGAAAAAAGGTACAATCTCTTTTCATAAACATTTACAACCTCAGAGCTCTGATGGAGAACTGCTGAGTAGGATTTGGGTCAAAGACTGTGCATGGGTAACACATATTAAATGGAATAGCATTATGAAAACGTTTAGATTGTGAGAATCACCAGAATGTGGTACAGAGACATGAAGTAAGCATATATTGTTGGAAAAGTGGAGCTTATAGACTTGTTTAATGCAAAGTTGCCACAACCTTTAGTTTTAAAAAAAATCACCAAAAATGCATTAATATTGAAGTACAGTAAAGCAAAGCATAGTAAAATGAGGCATGCTGTAATCTCTTGGGTTTCCTTCACATTCAAAAGCCTACAAGTTTTGTTTTTAAATTGTTTTTACATTGTTGTTTCACATTCAGCTTTGTAATTTCATGATGTAGAGATACAAACAAAATGAGTTTTCTCCTATTTTTTGTAGGTGAACTGCAGAGGAAGATTGGCCTGAAAGTACTTGAAATGAGAGGAAATGCAGTTGTCGGGTACTTACAGTGTTTTGATCTGGAGGGCGAGTCTGGGTTAGTGGTACGAGCCATAGGAACAGCGTGTACTCTGGATAAACTAAGTAGCCCAGCAGCATTCCTTCCTGCATGTAATTCCCCATCCAAAGAAATGAAGGAGTAAGTATGAGTCAATAAATTGTTCTTTTGGAGAGCGCTTTTGATCTTTTATCTATATATGCTCATTTGATTTGAAACATTTTGGTAGGTCTGTCTGACATCCTTCCCCCACTCTCTGCATGTTCATTTTTCTTATCATGGATGATTGCGGTTATAAAAAGCTTGAAAAATACATAGAAATTGTTAATATGTTTGTACTGTTTCAATATGAAAACCCAATTAAATAATGTAAAAGTAAACTTACTCCAGAGCTATAGACACTGAATAGCTAAATCATAAAGTGATTTATGCATTGTGGGAGATTTTATTTATTTCCAGAGGAATGCTTAAAATGCTATCTGATAACTTCTTAGGCTTATTATTGAAAATAAAACACAGAAAGTAGGAAGGGTTGATTTATGCAGTGTTATCTCTGCAATCTACACAGGTAATGACAAAAATTGGGTATAAAAAGATAAGAACTGCCTAACACAGTGGTTGGCAAACTTTTGTAAGGGGCCAGATAGTAAATGTCTTCAGTGTGGAAGCCATATGACTTCTCTGAATAGTCCGCTCACACTACTGTTACAGTGACAGGCAGTTTATAAATGAGTGAGTGTCCTATGTTCTAGTAAAAGTTTATTTTCATAGAATAAGTGCTTACTGACCTTAGTGATCCAGTAAAATATTGTGGATTAAATTTGACCTGTATGTTATTATTTGTGTCTCGGACAGAGAGTCTTAATAGTGGCAGTACTGTCAATTGGAGATGTTTGAAGTATGAATTTTGTTGTGAAAATGATGAGGGGAAAGATCCTGTTGATTTTCAGTTCAGGAAGGAGCATAGAGGTGCTGACCTTCCTACACAGAACTCTGCACTGTGTTTCACCCTAAATGTTAATTATTCTTCCATTGAGGACCTCATCTAGAAATTCTTTTAGATAGGGAGTTGGTAACCTTTTTTTAAAATAAATAATTGAGATTTTAATAACAGTGTCTCCCCTCTATTTTTTGTAGATGTTATGTAAATGAATGAGTGGATTACAACAACATGCAACAGTCTAGATTTAGCCTAGGGTCTGTAGTTTACTGATCCCTTCCATAGATCACCAAGTAGTTATAATTTTATACACAGTAAACACAAAATGCTTCCAGTTATGACAGTAGTTGCACAAGGTTGAGGAGAAAGCAGTCACAATCTTCTTAAGAGATTTTCCTTTTTATCTTCGGCTTATTTTGCTAGTCGTTTCCTTCCTGCCAGCTTTTAATCATTTGTATTACATTTCAGTCACAAGAGGGAGCACACTATTCCATATATTGCCTCATTGTACTTAGAAATACACAGTTAAGTGAAAAAATGGTTTTAAATAAATTGACTAAAGTGTGTGTGGCTTCACATCCCATTTAAAATATCAACTAGAGAGATAGGAATAGTTAGCTGCTACTGGTGAAGTCAGATTGCAGGTGTAACTTTCTGAGAGAATATACAGTTTTTTTCCTCAGCAAATTTAAGAGCTGGGTTCTTCTCCAGCCATCTTCTAGCTTTACCTGAACTGCCTGAAGATGTCTGACCATTGATGCTATCATGTCTAAAGATCTCTTCTTTTTTGATAAATTACCTGTTATCTTAAAATGAGATGGTAGATAGCAGGGGTTATGTTTCCTTGTTTTCAGGATGAGTTCCATTCATATAAATCTTCTAGGATTTAGGATTGTGTAAATTTTATCCTTTTCTAATTTTGTTAACCTTAAATTGTTAAACATTTTTACCATGGAGAATTTAAGTTGCTGCCTTAAGATTTTCTGAAAGCTTACTACCAAGGTCATGGTACATTAAAAAAAATCCCAGTAGTTAGGCTGCTCTATTTCAACTGACATCTTTGTGGTTTTAATAATAAGTCAATTTGGGTACTGTTTTAGAACTTATTTTATGATTCAACAGATTATGACTTTTCTGGTCTTAATCACATAACATTGTTGATTGTAGACAGTCATTTGATAGAAATTAGTTTGGATTATGTTTCTGTCTGAGTGGCTTTTGTGTTAGAAATTCACCACAGGGATGTTAGTGAAAGGCAATCTTTTCATGCCAGGTGATGGATAGTTAGAACCCGAGGAATACCTTACGATTATGCTCCCTTGTGTTTAGATTTTAGTATGATGGCATAATTTGAGCATTTAAAAATTTCCATATTATTTCACTAAATTTTACTTTTACTGATGGCATATTTACTTGAAAAATTACATTGTTTTTTCTTTTTAGATGGTTAGTATATATTTCTGGCATGGATAAAGTCTTATTATTTTCAAGCTGAGCAAGCTTGATGGTTTAATTAAGATGCCTTTAAGTATGATTTACTGCTCCTCTTCTTAAAAATTAATATTTTCTAAGATATTTTAGTCATAATTTCTCTTATTTATGACACCAATTTCTTAGATTTTTGAAATAATTTTCCACTTCAATACAAAGCAAAATAAAGTCCTTTAGTTTTCATAAAAACAGGTCCCTAATAAGATGTTTGATTTTTATCCATTAATATTGAACAAATTTTAAATATATATTGTTAACAAAAGCAGAAGCACTTGGCTTATTGTAAAATCCGTAGTATTTTCAGAAAGTAGTCTTTAGACTCCATGAAAAAGGACTGTTATGGTTACTTAGTAATAGCTCACATTTGAACCTTGGCATATTGTGATTAATGGGAATGCTCAATCGACAGATCAACAGAAGATAATATTTTCTGAATCATAAATCATATCTGGTATATCTTTCTTTATACTTGCAATTCTATTGTAGGCTATACCAAGTCTATTGCAGGCTATAAATTGGAATCTTACTAGAAACTCTTAGTGTAGAATGTAGTTTATAGTGTATGAGAGGTATACAAAATCATTTATTTTGCATATAATTTGTTTTTGAAAGCAGCATCCCCTGGCTTTGTTTCAAGTGTAACTTGGTTTTCAGCTATTTGCTTGGTGTGCTAAACTCCTGGGATGGATACATCTGAATATATCCATTCATGTCACTGCATTTCTCTTTTATATTATCACTTTTCTTATTTTTAAGCACTCTTACTTTGAAATTGGGGAGTTCTGGTAGCCTAGTGGATAGAGTTTTGCTGCCAGCCCAAAGTCAGACGGTTTGAATTCCCAGCTGCTTTGTGGGAGAAAGATGGGCAGTCTCCTGTGCAATATAAAGCCTCTGAAAACCTATTGAGGGGTCAGCTATGAGTTGATTCTGACTCGATGGCATCTAACAAAAACAACTCTGACATTACTGACAGAAACAATTCTGCTAAAGTTCCTGTATATATAAGTTTAATTATCAGGAATTACTCACATCTCTATTTTGAAGGTAATATGAGAACTTTATACTTTTCCATGTTTATGGCTGTTTTACCACTATAAATATATACTAAGTTCCAGGTGATCAAATTTACATTATAAAGCAACTTTGAATCTATTTTTTTCTTGCCTAATTCCCTGACTGCTTTATATTTTTCTTGTCCATCACTATAATTTATTAATCTCATCCTTTAGAAGTTTAATTATCTTAATAAATTAACATTTAGCTACTCCTCGACTTGCTTTTGCATGCTAGGGATTGAAAAAAATAAGTCCTTTCCCTTAACTAAATCTTCTTAAAATTATTTTAACATGACTTTGCTATCTGTTGTATGTATTGTTTTCTTTTCTTCCACTTTGACCACAAATTCCCTCAGGTCTCCGCTGGTTCATCCTCCAAGCCATGGATGCCGCTCGACTCACAACAGCCCAATTCACACTGCTACTGGCTCACGACTTACTCAGAACTTCTCTGTGTCTGTTCCCACTCTCATCTATACTGGTACGAGACTGCTCAGAATCCAGAGCTGGGGAGAGGCAGGCCACGGGCAGAGTGGCTGCAGAGGGCAGGCAGGCAGGTAGTGTAGGCAGGTACCATAAGTCTTTGCTTCCTCTTTCCTTACTTGAAGTCCAGCTGCAGTGAAGAACGTCTGTATGTAGCCACAACAGAGGCAGTGAAAGTATTCTTCTGATGTCCAAAGCCTCTTCCATAGATCCTTTTAAGAACCCTCTATTATATTGTTTCCTATTTGATATATGAGTACTCCTGAGTTTTGGGGTAAATCCTTCAGTGTGTATTTTTGCAGTTATTTCTGCATTTGGATAGAAATAAATCAGATGATTGGTTACTAGATGAAACAATTGCCAAAGCTATATACTTCCTTATTTTCTTTCTATACAAAACCTATAATAGCAGGGTCTGTTTTATTCTATGGAAGAGAGCTATTGGAAAACAGGTAAGCCATTTCATTACTCTACATAAAATGCAACGTTTCTGTATAGCTATATTCATCTTCCTCTCTGCTGGGTTTTTAGCTGTGGCACATTTGATGCTATAGGATAAGGAAACATTTTTCTTTTGAAGATATCTATGTGTGTGTAAATATAAATATGTGAATATTTACACATACTGTTTGCAGTCTTCCTTTTTCTTTTGCAACTTAATTTATTTGAAAATATTTTCAGTCATGTATTATTTTTATTTCTTTTAAATATTTTTTTACTTCTTTAATCTGCCATTTCATGCTTTTTTTGCTTTTTACATGGCTTATTAACTGTTTCAGTGCAGAAAATATGTATCTGGAGAATGACGAATGGTTAACCAGCAGTTGGTTGTCTTTGGCCTCATTCCCAGCGCCACACTTAAGAAATGACTGCTGGCCCTGCCCCAATACTTTCCTGGTGTTTGGATCATGCTGCCATCTGTCACACCCTTTGGCACATGATTGCTTAATATTTCTCCACCTTCTTCTGGCAGGATTCCCTTCAATGAAGATCCCAATCCCAATACTCACTCATCAGGACCCTCAACCCCTCTGAAAAACCAAACTTATTCCTTTTCACCTTCCAAGTCCTACAGTCGACAGTCCTCTTCTTCTGATACAGATTTGAGTTTGACACCCAAAACTGGTAAGGCGCTTCCACCCACTTTTATTTTTCTTTTTCTCTTCAAGTTTGTTTCTCTTTCTTATTAACTTTTCATCCTAACTTGTCTTCCTGCTTCTGGCATTTAAGTTAAAAGATAAATACGGATCATTTTCATTTACTACAAATAAAATAAGAAAATTTTGGTATCGTTACATCATCAAGTTCAAAATTTGTTTTTATATGTAGATATTTTTCATCTCATACTCAAATTATGATGTGTAACATTATCTTGAAGCATTAAAAAAAACATAGTAATACCAGTAGCTTGCAATGAAATTCCTCATGTGAGATAAGCATCTGAATTCATATTTCTGCCGATTCCTGAGTTGAATTTTAGGGTTTCATTATGAAAAATATCTTAAGATCAACTAAAAAATTTATGTTGATATATATATATTTAACTTTTTGTATTTAAAATATTTACTTTTGTTATTTCTGAGTTAGATAATAGCATTTTTGCTTTCCTTTAATGTTTCTCAAGTTATAAAGTTTATTGTCTTTCTTTCCTTTTTGCATTTTGATAAATAACCACAGTGGGGTTTATATGGGTTTAGGTGAGTATATTTTATGAATAAAAAATTGGCAAAGCCTGAGATTAATTTCTTCTTAAAATTTAGAATTTACTTTCTTAAATTATTATTTTTTAAGAGAAGATATAAAAATTAAGAGTTTGTAGGTTTTGTTAATTTTATTTGAGTTTTATCACCTGATAGTCATTTTGTATAGTGCTGTTATTTTTAATTTATCACCTTCAGTGACCTTATTTTATGTTTAGAAAACTTAGATACTCGGATATTTTTAAAAAATTAAGAAACCTGAAACCAGGGATACATGAAGTTGTGAAAAATACTGAAACCAGGGATATTTGAAAAGAGAAGAAAGAAAATTATAAAATGCCTGTGGATATAAGTCCATTTTTACAGACATAGTCTTTAATATAAACGAAATAATTAGGAATACTTCTTTGAAAATAATTATGTTTAGTATTACATTCTTATGAATAACATGTAAAATAATCTCATATTTATAATAATTCTTTGGCATATGATAACTATACCCTAAAACAGAACCATTCAAATTGTGGTAAAGTTAATTCCTTTTACCTCCCCATAAAAAGAATGAAGCTTTGCCCTTAAAATTTATGACAGTCAAATTAAAAAAAAAAAAGAAAAAAAAGGCACAGACAGCATTTGAATAGATTTTCTTAAAAATATTTTGAAGGATTTTATTCTGTATATTCCAGATGACTATTCAGTACTCTTAGCTTTATTTTGCGATACAGCAGATATACTAGACAGCATTTCCATAGTAATTTAATTTGTTTTAATTCATCAAGATGTCTAAGTCTGAAGATATTGCTAAAATAATAGAGTAACCAAACCAGATTTCTTTTTATGTAACTTTCTAGTAGAAAATAAATTATCAGTCAAAAATTTTACATAGTTTGGTGTTGGAATTTTTAGTTTTTAAAAATTATACTTGAGGTTGATATGTCTAGATCTATATTTATGAGCTGCCTTTAGATAAGATACTTTATTTTGCCTAATTTACTGCCTGAATAGCATATATGAAATATTTGTAGTTTTCATTCTTTTGGCTTTATCTTGAGTCTTTAAAATATTTTTGGATAGTTTTAAGGATCATTTCTACTTCTTAAATGGATGTTAAAACTGTCTAAATTATGATTGTTCTAAAATTTTTAAAGCTGTAATTCAGCATACATTTTATTATTCTCTACATGATATTTACCCAAATGCAAAAATCAGTCTCTTAAATATTGGGAACCAATAAGGTGATGATTGACTTACTGTATAAAAACTGGCTCAGAAAAACAGAGTAAAGGCAATAAAGGTTAGACTGAGAAAGTTGTTCTTTGTTTTTGTAGTTAAAATGATCATGTTTTTCTGTTAAGTCTCATTTTAGTTTCATTTACTAATTGACTTCTATAGATAATTTTTTTTTCCTTATATGATGTTATGATGCTTTATTTTTATACTTTTTGTAAGTGTTCAAGTAGTACAAATGAACTTTTAGAATATCAGTGGTAGGATGTTGATTTTCACTTTTTTAATGAGGGCTTTTTAACTATGTGGTGTTTGTGATCCATGTTTGTGAACCCTCAATAAGTTCAAATTGCTGCATATACAAACAGTGCCAAAATTCAATGCATCCATTAAAAATTTTGAGAGTAAATGTACTAATATAACTCTCTACTGCTGGAGAGAAAAGTTAATTTCATTTACTTAAAATTTACAAAAAAGATAACAGACTACTTAAGTGGTAGCGCATGCTTTTATTAAATTAGATCACCCATAGATAAAATCTTAATTAGCAACTATTACCACTTTAGTTAAGTGTTCACAGTCAGTCATCTATATCAAGTTTCTGGCTTTAGAGACTAGCAACTGTGGCTTAGTTTAACCTTAAAAATGTCAGGCAAAAACTCAGGAAATTGAAATAGCTTGAAGAGTCAAAGGTGATTGCAATAGAATCCAGTGTTGAGCTAAATAATCATTTAAACATTTTTCAGTGTACACCAAGTTTGTAAAAGTTTTACAAGGTTTAGCTATACATTTCTTTTACATTCTGTTGACCAGGATGGTTTTTTTATGTAGTGACTTTTCATATTCTACTATAATTTGTATATACACGTGAGCATTTATTTTTATTATTATGAGTTGTTTCATCTTTCCTTTTTCTACATTTTTCTGATCATCTTCTGAATATGCATCTTTTCTCTGCTACTTTCCTCCACAGCACCTTACCCACAGGGGCCTAGGAGTTACCTGTGCCCCACCTCCCCCCCTCTCTCTTGTGGTTCCCTTCATCTTAAAAAGTCCTGTCTCCTCCTCTCGGAATCTAGCCTTACCCCTCATCATTCTAGCCTTGTCAGCCCAGTTCTGAGGAAAAGTGTTTCTTTCAGTGAAGAGCTGTTCCTGGCTACTTCTGGTAGGACCAAATTATATCAGCTTTTTAAAAATTCCTTTATTTTTTAATACTCTTTGGAAAAATCAATAGATTATATTATGAAAAATTTTGGAATATTTTATACAGTGTGCGCACCTATGATTTTTCTTGCTGGTAGGTAGAGTTAACTAATTAGAATTATCATGAAGATGGGATCATTTTAGGAATAATTAATCTAATTATGAAACGTTATGCTAAAATTATTTTGTGAATTTAAAAACATTGTATGTCAGAGGACATAGATTTAGATATTTCTGATAACTGTGAGGTTCTTATTACTAGAGTTTCAGTTTTAGATACTTACTGCCTTTCCTGTCACACCAGCTTCATTCACTTAAAACCTGTGCTATCATGTTGCTAAACCACATGGTTACATTATTAGCACAATATTCTGTTTGAATCAGTTTAAGTCTCATTTTGATAATATCTTTTCACTATTCATTTTTCTATCCATTGCTTATATTACTAAATTATTCTGCTGGATGCTCTGATATTTCATTTATCTCTACAAATTTACATTTTATTTTGTGGCTTCCTAATGCTCCATATAAAGATCTTAATTTTTTTTCTATGTTTAGTATTGTATAGTCTCTTTAATCTTATTTAGGTTACTAGAAGAAAACTTTCTCTTTTCAGAGAAAAGAATGAGACTATACACATGCTAACCTTTGTTTCCTTATCCAAGAACAGCTAAAAATGTAAAATTAAATTAGTTCCTTACAGAATAATCGTAGTAAATCTGATATTTTATCTCTAGTCAAGAGTGGAATTGAACCATTAACTTTAGTTTGTAAAACCCTGGCTTCTCCTATTTCCTGCTTTCTATACGCCTTTGACCATAATTGGTCTAATAGGTCCTATCAAAAAAAAAATAAAATAAGGTAGGAAAAGAAATTAAAAATTAAAATTAAGCTTTAAAATATACATCTAAGAACTTGGGAAATAAAATGCTTTCATCCATAACTTTTGTGCATTTGTGATGTGTCAATTATATGTTCTTAATTTTATTTTTAAAAAATTTTTATTTTTACATTGAGAAAGATGTATATTAATACTGTTTTGTCATGATGTTACGAATAGAAATGGGACATTATTAGAAGATATATTAGAATGTTTTAAAAATTGCCCCGCAAATCATGCTTTTTAGAAAATTTTGGAATGTTTTAAATGAATACAATTAATGCCTTTTCTCTCTGTATTTACCTTTTGATAAATATTTAATTTTCTCTTAATATGTCAAAATCATTATTACAGTAAATAATTGTAATTGCCTTTTTGATTTTCTACTAGTAGACTAAGTTTTTTAAATAGAATATATAAGGATTAATTATGTTAACAATATTTCTTTTCATTTTAGTACAGATTAAGTCTAAAACTAGTTTTGGTCAATAAGATGTCCTTTTACATGTTGTTTTTAAAGGAAACAAAATTATCGTAAAATAAGCATTAGTTACTAGCACAAATAATTAAATATTTAGATAATTTTGAGTGATATGTATAGAGATTAATGCAGTGAAGCTTTTTATTGCTGGAGTTGTTTCGTTGGTTGTTATTTATCTACTGATGTTCTGTAGGAATGGGAAGTGGTAGTGCTGGAAAAGAAGGGGGGCCATTTAAAGGTCTTTTAAGACAACAGACTCAGTCAGCATTGGAACAAAGGGTAAGATTATTTGATATTCTTTTCTTCTTACATTGTTGATAATATTTTATTATCTTATACTGCTGTGTACATGTATAACTTTCATAAACAACTTTTAATCTTCTGTAATGTAGCAGTTTTGAAGTTTATAATGTGTTTAGGATGACAAAATAATTTATGAATATTTACTTTTAATTTGGAATAATTTAGTATCTTGTTTATCTTTTGACAGTATTTCATTAGAAATATTCTGCTTGGAAATATCCTTGAATATTGAAACCATTTCTAAGTTTACTTTAAAATAAATAATGTAAAAAATGAAATAAACATTACAAGAGAAATTAGTTGTAATTTTATATTAAAAATAATTCTTTGATGCATAGGTATATTTGTCTCCTGAGATTTTTATTTAGCAGTAATCTATCTATCTTAGAGATTAAAAATACCCCGATTTTGTATTTTTTTTTACATTAACAGGTAATGTTATTCTGTCTTCTGCTAACATATTTTAGTTTGTACAAATTCAGTTTAAATTTGTTGAGTTAGACAAATGAATAGTTAAAGTTTTTGGATGATTTTTCTCTTTTCATCTTTTTGTTTAAACTTCATTGCTAAGGGAGGATCGCCTCATAGGTTCTGTAGACGGCGGGTATGTTTCTGAAAATGTGTGACAGCTTGTTTTTTATATTAAAAGCTTTTTTAGTTTTAATGTTGACCACTTTACGCTTTTAACAAATGTTGCTAGCTCTTTTCTTTTCATATTGCAAAGGGCTTTTGATTTTTGTTGAAATTTTTAGCACTTGTGAAGCCCATATTTTTGGTTTTGTTTTTCTCCTTAACTAATAAAGTGCATGATTTTGTATGTAATTTCTTTTAAGTCATATTTCCACAGCTTTCTTTCAGTATGTCTTATTTGGAAACTAAAAGCATTTATATAATTTTCCCAGCACTAGCTTTTTGGGGGCAGAAAAAAATGTGAAACACCTTTATTGCAAGTGCCAGTTTCTTTTTTAGAAAGGCTGCATTGCATATAACAGATATTTATTTTCTAGAGGTTAGCTCCTGTGATAGACTTTTTCAGATTCTGTTATTATAAGCTTAAATGTGTCAAAGATGATAAGGATGACACAGAGTAGGACAAGGCTTAGATGTTTATAGGGTCTCTGAGTCATATTAGACTCATTGGCACATAACAGCATTAATATTATAAGCAATATAACATTTCCCTCCCACCCCCCATTGTCTTTATTTCACTGTGCTAAAAGTGCCTCTGTTTTCTGGCTGCTCCTGGTAGGATGTGGATGTGCACTTGCCTTTTGCACAGGGATGTTGTTGTTGTTATGTGCCGTCAAGTCGTTTGCGACTCATAGTGACCCTATGTCCAACAGCCCTAAAACCTGCTCTATCCTGTGCCAATCTCATTGCCTCTGACACACCCATCCTGATT